TTTCTTTACTATGAGTATTAAAAAACCCAGAAGTGCATGTGGAGTTTCTGTATTTCCCACATGGAACAGAGCAAAGGTCCTCAACCCCCGGTCCACAGCCCCGTGCCGGTCTGTGGCCTGAGCCAGACTGGGCCACGGAGACAGACCTCCCCCATCCCTGCACACACTCCCCCCTGCACAGTCCCTTTGTGTCTGAGCATGCCTGCACTAGTGCTTCCCCACCGTTTCACACATGTGCACAAGTGCCCCCAAGCACTACGCCGGCATTCGCACATGCGCACGAGGGCCCACATGAGAGCCCTCCTGCTCCTTCATTCATGTGCACGAGCACTTGCACGAGCACCCTCCCACTTCTTCGTGCATGCACATGAGTGCTCAAAATCCTAAAAGAAAGACTTCAGCAGTATGTGGACCAAAAACTTCTAGAAGTACAAGCTGGATTTCAAAGGCAGAGGAACTAGAGACCTAATTGGTAACATGAACTGGATTATGGAGAAAGCCAGAGAGTTCCAGAAAAACATATACTTCTGCTTCATTGACAACGCAAAAGCCTTTGACTGTGTGGACCACAACAAACTATGGCAAGTTCTTAAAGAAATGGGAGTGCCTGACCACCTTATCTATCTCCTGAGAAATTTATATGTGGGACAGGAAGTAACAGTTAGAACTGGATATGGAACAACTGATTGGTTCAAAATTGGGAAGGGAGTATGACAAGGCTGTATATTATCTCCCTGCTTATTTAACCTATATGCAGAATACATCATATGAAAGGCAGGATTGACGGAATCCCAAACCGAAATTAAGATTGCCAGAAGATATATCAACAACCACAGATATGCAGATGATATCACTCTGACGGCAGAAAGTGAGGAGGAATTAAAGAACCTCTTAAGGAGGGTGAAAGAAAAAAATGGTCTCAAGCTAAAAATAAAACCCCCTAAGATCATGATCACTGGTCCCATCACCTCCTGGCAAATAGAAGGGGAAGATATCGAGGCAGTGACAGATTTTACTTTCTTGGGCTCCATGATCACTGCAGATGGTGACAGCAGCTACGAAATTAAGAGAATGAGATGGTTGGACAGTGTCACCGAAGCCATCAACATGAATTTGACCCAACTCTGGGAGGCAGTGAAAGACAAGAGGGCCTGGCATGCTCTGGTCCATGGGGTCACTAAGAGTCGGACATGATTTACCGACTAAACAACAACAAATAATATTCCCAGACAATGTATCTCAAATTTTTTCTGATACCCATGTATTCTTCATGAACCATCTAGCAGAAAGACCTGCTGCATCCACTAGCCACTGAAGCGAACGATTCACATTGTCTATTAAACTGAATTTAAAAGATAGTACAGAATACACTGAGAAACAAGCTCAATTAGTGAATGCAGTGGCACTTCAGAGGTGTCTGTCTTTTCCTTTGGCTACTGTTTTTGGTTAGTATGTATTTCTGGCAGCCCACCCTGCTCAGGGAGGAATTATTGCTTCCTGTATTAGCTGTGCCACCTAATTTTTGGCAGGTTTGCAGAGAGAATAAAATGACAACTTTATGATAAAACAGTTACTTTCTGAATGTGAAAAATCTTCATTTTTCCTCTCATAAAGTCAGGGGAAAGCACTTTTAGTCACTCTAACTATTGTTGTAGTGTAGGATCTGGGTGGATCATTTCAAACTGAGCACCTCATGTAGGCACTGTACAAACAAGAGTGGCTAGATTGTATTATAGGCTTAAGTGGACTGCAGACCATGAAAGCTTGAACCAAAATACATTTGTTGGTTTTAAGGTGCTATGGTATTCTGTTATTTTCACTGCTCAAAGAGGGTAGATGTTGATTTGTTCTCAGAGCAATACAGAATCCAATAACCATAGCAGACAGAAAGTCCTAAAGTGAAGGTGGAGCACAAGAGCTTTTACATCATGCCAACAAAACACATCCAACATTATTATTGAAATTGTACTTCTATGCTTTGTAAATAAATGGGGTATAGCTAGCTTTGTCGCTGAGGGGCCACCGCAGCAGCAGCAAAGGATGTTAGCCGCTGCTGGAGAAACTCTTTTCATGATGCAGTTTTCAGGAAAACCTTTGTGGGAAAAGTGATGGGCATGAAACAGCACACTTCTTCCTTGTGTGTTGTATTTCCTCTTTCTAAAAGGAAGCAGTCGAACCAGAGTTCCTGCTGCATTTTCTAAATGTCACTCTTTTGCAGCTGGTTATGTCAAAAGACAGATGATATGAGGTGGTGCGTGTTTACAAAAGAATTTAAAACACATTGAGTTTTGGATTTTGATAGGTCCATTTCCATATGTAAACAAGAGGAAAAGACTGAGAGGAACATAGCCTCAAAATGAATTGTGTGCTCCATAATCATATATGGCTTACAGTGTATTTTTTTAATTTGTTGGAATTTTAACACAAATACAAATGAACAAACATTTAAAAACATTTTATATATATGTAAGCAAAAAGCTAATTAAAAAATAACCCAAAGATTTTGCATTACGCTTTGTTACCTTAAGCCACCTTGAATCGTTTTTAGGAGAAAGCCAGCATAAATAAATAAACAAATAAACAAACAAACAAACAGACAAATAAATAATATCAATGTCTAAGTTTTCTTCTTACATATTGCCACTTGCTTACTGGTAGGTGTTATTACACATGTTCTGATTTTAAAATGTTCTATTTTATGAATAGAATGAAGGCTATTTTAGGTTAGCATTGAGATCTTGGGAATGCCCATCTTTAGTTTTGCAATTATATTTTACAGAAGTACATCATTCTGCCTAGCATGTTTTTTTCCCTGTGGCAATGAGGAACATTTTTTCCTGTGGCAATGAGTGATACTAGTAGGTGACAAAAGATAACATACTTCCGTCTGCTAACCACACCCTGTGTAATGGAAAAATTAGTCACTAACCATTGTTTCTCCCGTATTCTAAGTAGTGCAAGTACAGTATATTGTTATGTTAATTACAGACACAGATGCTTTGCTTCTCACAAAAGTTTACCTTTTCAATTTTAAAAAGCAATTTCTAAAAGCAAAATGACAAATTATCATTGTGTGTTCATTATTTATCTTTATTGTTTGTGATAACATACAGACTATAAAAAAAAGAAAGACAATAATATCCTTCTTAGCTGTAGTAATGTGTTAATTATGTACATGTAATTGTCCTTTTCATCTTGGAATGTAGGTAAAGATAGCATTATGGTAGATGGACAAAGTTATAACATATATACAGTACATCAGAACCACCTTTGTCCCACTCAGAGATGAAAAAGAATTAGGACTGAAAAAAACAATGAGTTAAATGTACAGGGACAAATTATAATATTGGGGTATTTTTAAAAATAATATTAGAATCTTAGAATTGCAGGGCTGTCAAGGAGGCACCGTGGGGAATCAAACTCCCAACCTGTGGCTCTGCAACCAGATAAGCTATTTTTAAAAGCAATGCTAAAAATGATATTGGAAATTGCCATGTGTGTAAGATATAAAAAATAAGGAATATGACAGTTTGAAGAGTAATGAATTTATCGTAGCACAGGCATTTATGAAGTAAAGCCCACTTCACCAGTGGTGTGATACGATACCACTACTTGTATACCTCTGAGGTACCCCCACACACAAAGAGAAGAGGAAAGAAAGGAATGATAGATTGTAAACAGAAGGAAGAGAAGACCATGTAATTCAGTGATAGCATTAGTTGTGTCACAGTTCTAGGCAAAATTTAAGTGTATGTAGGAATATATAGTGCACCCTCGACTTACAGACGGCTCGACTTACAGACGGCTCGACTTACAGACTTCTCTGGCCGCAAAATTTAGATTCAACTTGCAGCCGGAGAATCGACTTACAGACCAGAAAAAAACCAAAATGGAACAAAAATAGAATACAAACTGCCAGTTATGGGATTAATCAGTTTTCAATGCAATGTAAGTCAATGGAGATTCGACCTACAGACTTTTCAACTTGCAGCCACCATTCTAATACGGATTAATTCCGTAAGTAGAGGGTCCACTGTAGTCTGAGTTATGCACATATTTTCTTAACTCTTATTCAGTATTCCATGATTCCCAAATTTTCCTTGCTTAAGGACATAGTTTACTTGTTATGGGTGGAAAAATTAGATTTTTAATTTTTAAAATTTAAAAGATAATGAAATAGACACAAAATGTATGACGATGTACAAAGAGGGAATAAACAATACAATGGCCTTGTTATAGCATTTAGAGGGGAGATCGGTTCAATAAAGACTGTGGGATAAACATCTGTTGCTAGTGGCAAACATTTGCATAGTTGATTAATTTTGTTAATGGTGCAGCAGCCAGCTCAGAAATGTCATAAGTCTCTGGCTCGACCAGAGCAGAAGTGCAAGGAGGAGCAATGTTTGGATGCAGTCCAGCTCATAGTAGTCCTATGACTCCATACAGCACCTACCTCCCTTCCCAGTGCATTTATTGATCACACAAGGGAGGATGGTCTGTACATCCAGCCCTACTGATTTTCCAGGGAATTAGCAAGATCAATTTTCACAGCATGATCATTATTCTGAGCTGCAGTTACCTACGTACATATGTATCTATATGCACACACATTCATCCACATATAGTAGGGCTTTCTCAGTGGAGGTACTGTGGTTACTGCACCCCTTTCCAGAGGTGATCTCTGTCCTAGTGGTCCCATTTCATCAAACTTCAGGAGGAATCCAGTTATCATTCCTGTGAGGCAAAAGGTAAGTTGGATGGGCTGGGTTCCACATCGAGCAGCAATAGCCAAATATCAGAAGGACCAGAAACAAATACCAGCCAGATAAGAGATCATATTCTAAAAGCACATCTGTGTATTCAGAATGGCAGAAGCAAAGTACAGTATAATGAAGACATGAAAGTAGAATATACATCCAGAAGATAAATTGCCAAGCATCTAGTTTTCTCCATTTGTCCCCTTCCCCTTACCTCTGTAAACCCTGGACAAGATGGGTAGAGTTTCTGTATAAGGTTAATCAGAATATTGAAAAAACTCCTTGAGAGAAATGCTTAAAAAGTAGTAGAAAAAGCTACTATGACATCAATAGCTAAGCTGTTCAGCTACATGGGAGCAGAAGAGAAAAACCATTTGGAGAAAGGTTTGTAGTTCTCAACGTTATCTGGTCATTTACTCTTTTCTTTACTAAAAAACATCTGAGTCCTCATTTTCAGAGCTTTGATACTTAGTTGTTAGTTCCAGGGACACCTCTTGAAATTCCTTGTTTACAAAGTAATAGCAAATGGCATCCAAGCAGCAGTTGGTGTTGGCAAGAATTCCTGCATGGTCCAAAAAGAAGCTGATTTTGGCTCTTTTAGTGCAGCTAGCATCTGTGGAGTCAGCTATGAACTGAATGAGGATTGCAACATGCAGTGGTAAAAAGCATATAATGAACACTATTATGTTTGCACAAATTATGTTGATTGCTTTCTGGATCAGCCTTGCTTCATGCGGGTGGGTCCTTTTCTTCTTCTTGAGTTTTCTTGTGACTTCAATTGAACAGAAGCTCAAGATGGTTAAGGGTATTAAAAATCCCCAGATGACACTGGCAAAAAGATGTGGTGATGGTTCTTTGTTAATCTTTCTAAAACAAATTCCTTTTGTTCGGTCATCCATCACTTTAGCTATACATAAAAGACTTATCATTAAGGTCCAAAGAACCCCACAGACAACAACTGACTTCAGAGGAGACCTTATATCCTTTGCTCTGAGTGGGTAACTTATGGCAATGTATCGATCAACTGCTGTAATAGTAATAAGGAAGACACTCATGTACCGATTAATAAAGTATGCACATTCCATGATCAGACATGGGATAGTCACAGTTTGTGCCCTATAAATTATTTTGAGAGGCAAAATACAGACAAATAAGAAGTCTGAAAGGGCAAGATTGGTCATATACACTCTAGTTTCAGTCCATTTGCCCATTCTGCAGCAGAATACCCATATGGCAAAGGCATTTAGGATGATTCCAAAGAAGCACACTGGGATATAAACAATTGTTTCAGTGACATCTGTGGTTTGACTCTGGTTGATGGTGTTGTTGCAGTACACATTGTCGTTTGGATCTTGGGCCATTATGCTTTTGTAAAAGAAACATTGTTATTACTTTCATAATGCCATTATCATTCATGCTGGGCATGTTGGATTCAGATCTCTTTGACGGGACTAGTAAAATTGGAATTCTACACAACTATCCATCCGAAAATGCTACGCAAAAGTCAGTGGCTCATGCTGAATAGGGTGAGCTGTGGGAAGGTGGGAAATGGATGCCCTCTGAAAATTGAGTGGGATCCCAGTAGGTCTGGGTTTGTCACATGGATGCCCTCTGAAAATTGAGTGGGAGCACCTTCTGTAAGGATAGCAGTTTTATTCACTGAAGGTAGATCCTGAATGCAATCCATTATGATTAGCATCTGTTTATAGCTTCAGACTTTTTGTATATTTTGTGTTCTATCTGTGTTATATCACATAGTGCTATTTTGGAAAAAAAAGGTGAGCTACAATTCAGACAAATATAATGTACTGCTATAATTTAGGAATAAATATTTAATATGGTTGTATTATGTTACAAATACAGGAAATTGCATCTTTATGAAATTAAAAAGTATGTTTGAAAAACAGGAGATAAACCAAGAGCAGATGAGCAACACATCTGACTTGCAAAGCGTTTGTTTCAGAAGTTCTGGACTCTATATTTTTAGTGACTACCAGATTACAAGCAAGTCTGAGTACATATTATTGTGGGTTGCAACCTGCTATAACATGTAGGAAGACTTTTTCTGGGAAATTTAAGTGGTGATGAGCTGCACTACAGCTATCAGATGGAATTGCACCAATAGTGTATTTTGACAATAGACTTCCAGGCAGATTAGTTCTGAACTAGAGCTGTGAAACTTTGTAAATTCCCAGAAATCCACAGAATCACAGCCAGGCTACAGAATTCTGGCACTTAAAGTCCAAAAACACAAATCTGCACAACTCTACTAGCATAGTTAGTTTAAAAACCCTATTGTGAACCTATTATGCTTTTTGGTAGAAATCTAAGGAAGCACTTGGAAGGATACAAGATAAAGATGTTTGGACCCTCTGGTAAAATTATGTGAACGAGGCAGAACAATTTAAGAATAAAAGCCTAATCCAAACAATTGGAAGATTGTGAAAAGTCAGAACATACCACTCAGTTCTCAAGGTATTCCACGCAAACAGATCCGGGATTCTTCTTTTAGACTTCCACTTCAGGCATATCCTTGTCTTTGTTTCTAGTCTTATTATGACAAGGCTGGCTGCTCAAGTTGCTTCTCTGAACATTTCCTCTTCAGTGTTCCTGTGATTAAAAGAATCACATGGCAATGCATTTCTCTAAGTTCCAGACCTTATTTAACAAAAACAGCTGTACCTGCGCACAAGGGGGAGGCATCAGCAGGTGGCCTAGGAGGAAGGAAAGAACCTGAAGAGCTGAAAAAGTACACAATATCATTAGGAAAATGGACTGTAGCTCATACTTGAGGATACTTGTTTTTCCATATCTATGAATCTGTTTTCCAGATCCCACGACATTTCAATATGAAACATGGTTAAAGCAGAATGAGCAATATTCTGAATAATAAATTCTTAGTTCTTTTCTACAACAGAGGGAATGTGATTATACAATTAAACCAGGACCAGAAACAGACATTATAGGTAGCCTGTGAGTAGAAGATTGAATTCTTTAACTGCTGGATGCCTTTAACTATGCAGCAGGAGATTTTCTCACATCACATAATTTGCAAATTAGTTTGCTTTTTTTCCACAATGAACCTTCAGGACTGAAGCACAATACTCCTTTGAAGTCTTATTTTTTAAAAAAAACCAGTCTGAATTACAGAATCTCCAGCACCAATGTGTTTTCAGCTTTAGTCATAAGCTAGTTGTAATGTTTGTTTCTACCCTGAGGTTTGTGGTTTGAGAGAGAAAAAAGGATAGGATTGGTTGTGTAATTAAAAGGAGTTGTGGTTGTGCAGTTAAATTAAGGACTGTAGTTTGAGAAACAGGCAAACACCCTTCCCTATATGATGCTTTCTCAAGAACTTCAAGTCCCTGTGAAGATGCAGGAAAAGAGGAGACCTGTTGGGAAGATCAGAACATCACAATAATGATCGGCATTGGTCCTATGGATGGTGGAAGCAAATGTTGTAATTTATATAGCAAATGGTCTAGAAGTTCTCTGATTTTGTCCTTGTATTTTTCTGTTTCCATGATTACTGTGGCATTGCCTTTGTCTGCTGGCAGGATGATGATGTCCGGGTCTGAGTTCAGGGACCTGATGGCATTTCTCTCCTTTCTTCTTATGTTGCTTTTGGGGGGTTCGCTTTCCGTAGGATCCTAGTCACTTCCCCTCTTATTTCCTCTGCTTTTTCTTCTGGAAGATGATATAATGCTGATTCCATGTTAGCAATTATGTCTTCCACAGGAATTTTACTGGGTGTGATTGCAAAATTTCCTCCTTTGCTTAAGACTGAGGTTTCTTCTGGGGAAAGTTGGCGTCCCGATAAGTTGATGATGATCCGCGTGGTGTCTAGTGTTGGTTTCTGTTGGCTTGTTTGGCATTTGTTGAATTTCTGTTTTTGTCTGGCTGTGTGGTTCATCATTTCCTTTTCAATCTTTCTGTAGGAGAGGGTATCGATCTTGTCCCAATCTTGGCTTCTCATTTTTTGGCTGATAGGGATGTGTAGGCCTAGTAGTTCTTCCTCTGTGGAGTCCAGTTTTTGCGGGTTGTGTGGATTCTTTCCTGTAGGAGGGCATGTTCCAGGCGGACATAGATGCGGCTGGCCTGTGGAGAAATGATGGTCCTTTGTCCTGAGGAAGGCTGGTATGGTTTTTGTGTCTCTGCAGCATAGTAGAAATGTTAAGGAACATAGTAGGTGTGCTCTTTTGCTTCGGAGTGTTTCTAGTCTCTGGGTCTGTCTGACTGTTTCCTCCCCGGAGAGGCGTTCAATATATTCACGAAGGCTTTCACGGCAGGGATCTAATGGTTGTTGTGGGTTTTTCAGGCTCTTTGGACGTGTTCTGGAGGTTGTTCTTCCTAACGTTTCACCAGTCTCTGTGGCTGGCATCTTCAGAGGACAGCAACCTGTGCTCTGGTGTAGTTGGCTTGGGAGTGCAGTACATATTTATGGCTGTGAGACAGGCGTTTGTCTTTTTCTGTAGATGGGTGATTAGTGTGTATTGTCTTACCATGACAATGTTTTTAAAAAGACTAAAAATAGTGCCTTTTCACTTGATTCTGCAGTTTTTTCATTGTACTGTAATTTTACATAAAAGGTAGAAAAATATTTTAACCTTAATCGAAAGAATTACTAATTAGAAACATGATGACCAACTAGAAATGTAGGCCAGAAAGAATCCTATGGCACTAAGCGATCCCAGATACCTAAATCACTGAGCTATACATCTACCTGAGTTATATATTATAAGCAGTCCCAGAAGGGCATTTACACAAGTAAAATCTGAGAGCAGGCCATCTGTCATGTCCCCTCTCATTCACTTGCAGAGGAAATTGTTTGCCTGGTTATATGCCTGACGACATGACAGACAGCAAGCAAAATGGGAAAACCACTTGCACGGTTGTTGTTATAAGTGTGGTTTTCCCCAACAGAATTTTGGTCATAATAGCAGCTGGATTACATAGCACCGGCGTTCCGTGTCTAGTCGCGCTGACCACGGAAACTGTCTTCAGACAAACGTTGGCTCTATGGTTTGGAAATGGGGATGAGCACCACCGCCTATATTCAGACACAACTGGACTAAATGTTAAGGGGAACCTTTACCTTTTACCTTACCTAGCACCTGTCTGACACATTCACTGCCTCCATTCTTTTAAAAAAGAAAGAAGAATAACACTGAAACCATGTACATCATCTGAGACTGTGCTCTTCTTCTTTTCTTTTTAAGTGGGCTCTCTAAAATCTAGCAAAAGGTCAAGGAAAAACATGAGGAGTCAATGTCTGGATGACACATCATGTGGGTACCCATAACATGAGTGAATAAAGCATGTAATTCTATATTTAGCAACCTAAGAGACCAGCCTTTGATGATTGCTCAGTGCCACATGTTTTGAGTGAAATCTTTCACTTGGCCTAAAATGATGAATTCAGTTCTTAGTGCTAACTTATAAATGAGACTTACTTAAATGTTTACTTATCAAATCCCCCTCTGATTGGAGCTTGCAGCTGTGTTTAGACCAAAGAATCAGGCCAGTTACAGTTATGAGCTGTCCAGTTGATTCTGACCATTGTTTCTAGGGTCTTCGAGGTATAAAGTACCCAGAAATGGTTTACCAGCCACCAGTTCTAGTGACACACTGGGATTGTGCAGCTTGCACAAGGCCACACAGGCTGGCTCCTCTCTTGGAAAGCACGGATGGGATTCAAACTCCCAACTTTACTGAGTTATTCAGCCAATTAAGAGTCTCACTAGTCACACTTAAACTACTATAAATGGAGCTACTGCATCAAGTCTGGGTTATGTGACAAAACTGTTACTGATGGGATGTGTATCTTGACATTCTTCAGTGCTATAGGCTCTGTAGAGCAATGGGAAGAACTTTCCTCTTGATACTGTGGTGGATCTGATCTAACACGAATAAAATGATAAATCTGAGGGTTGCCTGTCTTAACTGAAAATTGTTGACTCTGTCTCTGTGTGATTAATTATAGTCAGACTAACCATACCATTTAGGAAGAACTTGTTCACATATTGTTGCTTGGATGGCAACAACCTTTGATACCTCACCCATGGCCGGGAGCAGCGGGGAGGAGGAGAAGAATAATTGACAGCCCCAGTAAGTTTAAGGCTCTTCCAATTCCAAACATGCCTTCTAAAAATCTATTTCTTTTGCATCTTCCAGATCATCCAAAGTCCTTATCTGATTTCAATGTTGAATTTTCTGAATTCTAACTTGTAAATCTATTAGATGTCTATATAGATCAGTGGTTCCCTACCTTGGCAAACTCAGGTGTTCTTGGATGACAACACCCAGAAACCTTGGTCAGCACAGCTGGCAATGAAGGCTTCTGGGAATTGCAGTCCAGGTTTACCTGAGTTACCCAAGGTTGGGAACCACTGATCTAGATAATTTTTTGTTCTTATAACCTATAATACTTGGCTGAATAGTATTTATAAGGCTGACTTGGATCTTCATAGTTATTAGCACACAAACATGCCCCCAGGTAGCATATGGCACACCAATTAGCATTGTGATTGCAGTTTGTGTATTGTTGATCATTCTTGCAGCTGGATTGACCAGCTATGGGAAGTGGAATCAACCCATCAAGTATGTTAGAACTCTTCCCTTGACAAGTGAGCCACTACTGTTTCCAACACAAATGTCAGGAAGATAACCATGAACTGATATGAATTTATGTTTGGTGTTAATAATAGAAAATTATCTGCAGATTCCCACAGCCCTCTGAAGGCAAGATGACATTAGAAGGCATGGTTACAACTCCCAACATGGTTTTATACTGCATTAAAGTTATTCATTCAACTCCCAACACCTTTGGGCCTTAGCCAAAGTACTGAGTGGAGATTTTTGGTGCATTGGCCAGAACCTGTAGATGCCAGGGTAGATGTAATCCAGCCTTCAGAGGGGTGGTAGGAATATTTGAATGAAGGACCAACTTTGCTCCTTCCTCTTCCCACCGGCTGGGACTGAGCTGTAGGTCAGGCACTGGCCAAGAATGATATTTTCAGTGGAAGCAAAGTGTGCCAAATAATGCCCATTCCTAGAGGTAGGCAGTGTGAAAGTTGTGTCTTGGCAGGATTGCTTTAATGGGCTCTGGAGGAAAGGGCTGTTTTGAAGACTGTTTAAAACTTTGTTTCATTATTGATGTTGCTGCAGACAGAGCAGTCTGCTGGGGCAGGGAGTGTATTACAATAATTATAGTAGCTATTATAACTATAATTATAATGGTTTCTGGATATCTGTGAAAATAAATGATCTAGAAAGCTCTCAATGGACAAGACTATTTGAAAGCCTGCTCTGTGCTGAGATCTTCCATAATCTCTGTCCTATTGACATCTGATGTACAATCAGGAACTCGAGAGAGCGCCTTCTCAGTGGCTATGGTCAGACTTTGGAATCTCCTACCAAGGAAGGCCTATTTAGCCACCTCTGTGATATAAGTCTGCTCGCAGTTTTTAAAACAAAAATCTTTTTATTTGAGCAGACTTTGGGCCTATTACACTGTAGCTTACAGTATTCTGCTCTGTTTTAATGTTTACATTTACTTGCTTCTATTCTCTGACGTTTTACCTACTCCTGTCTTATCATTGTACATACCAGTTTACTGTTATTGCTTACTCTATTTTTGATTGCACATAACATCTTAAAAACCAACAAACTTGACTGAGTGTAAATTTTTGTAAACTGCAGCCCATTACATCAGACGTTGATTCATGACAAATAAAATTTGAGATGGTGGAATATAGTTGATAGTTCTGACTAAAGTACACCTGTTAAATCACTTGGATGCATCCCCCGTTCCCCCATGCACGCACAGACGTACTCGCACACACATACACAGATGCACACAAATCCCCCCCATGCATGGTAAACTGGTCCACAGTGTCCAAAAAGGTTGGGGGTCACTGGTGTAGCTTATCTGAGACTATCAACTGGAGTTAGGCAGTCTTTAAACTACCACTGTCGTCTGTCACAGTAAAACAACCATAAATATGGCAAGGACCCTGGAATTTTTGTTTTTAGTAGGTTGGCTATTTTTATTGCATATTTTCTAGTTAGCTGCTTGTGGAATTTTATATGGAAAGATGGAGTATAAAGCTTAACAGCAGCAGCAACAATAAGAGTAGGATCTGTTCTGTGTGAATAGAAAGCTAGTGTGTTCTAGGATTAGTACAGGGATGTGGTTTGACTGACAGTTCCACATATCCAAAGAGCCATATGTGTCCTTGCTCCTTAATTATAGCTAGGGATTCTTAGCCATTTGACACAAAGGACAAAATGGACCAAAGAGAGGTGTACCCCACCAAGTTACATCTAGGCAGTGAATCTGACTGAGACTTCAACACTGTTGATAGGACTGCATTTTTCTCTGCACTTAAGAGCCACTGGGTTCCCTTTGATACAGGCTATTTGACACACATGACTCATTTATTCTGGATGCATTTAGGATTGTAATACTTTTAGAAGACGAAGCAAACAAAAAGTCCTGTAGTTCTTCACACCAAGCCTATAATCTGACTCAGATCCATCCTTATTTTCCATTAATCACAGAATCATAAAATCATAGAATGGTGAAGTTGGGCCTATAAAGCACCTTTGATACAGGCTATTTGACACACATGACTCATTTATTCTGGATGCATTTAGGATTGTAATACTTTTAGAAGACGAAGCAAACAAAAAGTCCTGTAGTTCTTCACACCAAGCCTATAATCTGACTCAGATCCATCCTTATTTTCCATTAATCACGGAATCATAAAATCATAGAATGGTGAAGTTGGGCCTATAAGGCAATCAAGTCCAACCTCCTGCTTGCTGCAGGTCTGCAAATCAAAGGATATCTGCCAGTTGATTGTCTAAGTTTCTCTTGAATGCCTCTAGTGCTGGAGCATTCACCACCTCTCAAGGGAATTGGTTCCACTGTTTAAACTCAGCTTTAAAATTCTAACT